TACATCAAAAAATGGTATTCCGGTGTTTTGATCAATTTCCTACCAAACCATTAAAATTATTTTATTTTTTAAAATAAAATTTTTTGATCTCGGTTAATTTGGTTTATATTAAAATAAGTTTGTTGTAATTAATATAACTACAATAATACATGTAGTTTGAATAAAAATATGAATATCCGGTTCTTTTGTCTTCAACTGTACTCGATGCTACCCGACAAAAATCTGGACAGTGGGGATCGCAGACCGTAGAGTAGGGCAGATGTGCACGGGGGTTCATTCTATCTTATGGAAAATTGGACTTTGGATTTGCGTCGGGTAGCGTTGCATCGGGTAAGTGTGTTTCCGACATGTTAGGCCCTCCATACTGCCACGCAACCTCGGCTCGATCTAAAGTACCCAACAATCCGATAGGATGCTGAGACCTGAATAAGATCCATGACATTATTAGAGCAGTTTGTATACTTGACAACTACGTTAGAAAAAAGATGGCTCACAATAAACTCCACCAATGTTGGAAACGAAATCCCCATATCACTGGTTCTACCAACCCGAGTGGTTTTACGTAAATACAACTGAAATAACAGGTTGTAATTGTACAATTCAGGATGCTTTTCTACCCCTGTATAAATTTTACGTTCGACGACTCCATGGGATACTAACCCGAAACACGCAACTCCCTCGATTTTTGCAGTGCACTGCAGGTCGCACGAGTCGAATCCAAGTCGAGAACAGATCGAAACGGTGTCGACACGTGAGTGGTTGCCTACCTACTTGCCCAAGGAGAAGACTTGTGACAAACTTGCATCGCAGTTGCATCGAGCGCCGTCGACCCATAGAGGGCCTAAGTCACTTATGATGGAGTTATCACAATGAGGAATCAAAAGGATCAGAAAAGAAAAAGTTGGATGTTTTCGTGTTATTCACGCAAACAGTTCTATTATGTTAATTGTGAAAAAGTCTCATTTTGTATACCAAGTATATTTCAGAACGAATAACATACTAGTAATATTCGTGTGTACTTTAGTAATTAATCCATTTATGTTTAGTGGTCTAATTTACCATATTAATTGTTTAAATTAATTATTCTTTTTATGTAAGGTCTTGAGATGAAAAAGTTAATGTCACGAGCGAGATTCGAACCCACGACCTTCGGCTCAATACGCCACTGCTCTAACCACTTGAGCTATCGTGACCTCTTTTTTTAAGTTAAGGTTAGTATATCCGTACTTTCGATAGTTCAATAGTATATTTAACACAATACTTGATAACTTATTTAATCTAGAGATGTGATATACTGTCGGGTATCTTCAGTTGTCAACACGATTTTCAATAATTTCACTGACGTTTAAGGATTAGTATAAAAGTACTTAAGATTACTCAGCTTCGAGTTTTTATTGGATACACGAATGGGGGAATTTTTCGGCAATTCATCTCTGATGATCCAGTGTCCGAGGGTCGTCCTCGGTCCAAGGAGAAATTCACTTCTCATCACAACTCGCAAAAAAGTTTTTGTTCTGTCCAAAAAAAGGTGCACAGAGCACACTCCTAACGGGGTTTTCTTTCTCTCGTTCGATTCATATGCGACCCATTTTTTGTTTTTGTCGATCCGGCTTGTGCAGGCGATTGGTCGACAAGGCCGGTTTTCTCACAGAACATTTTCCACTGAATCACCCCGAAACAAGTCAGTCAATATACAATCGATTATTCAATAAATCGTTTATGCAAATGAAAACTGCATTTCGACCAAACCATGATGTATAACAGTCTGGGTTTGCATATTTTATAGAATTTGACGTGCACTAACAGCAGAGAGCCCCTATTAGGTTTTTTTCGAATTAAATAATTGTGTTGTAAATTTCGTATGGCAGGAGTGTGTTTGTTTCGAGTTCCTTACGTGAGAAAAATATAATTACTGAAGTTAAATAGATATTTGTAAGGCATGGATCTTCTTTACTCGTTTTTCTCTTGAATTTTTATATTGTCAAGTGTAACAAAATATAAAGCAAATTTGTCAGAAGAGTTTCATGGGGTGAATGGCTTGAAAGATGGTATCGTAGTGGTACCATCATAGACACAGTTACTGGGTCTGCTTTTCTTGATACTACACCCTGGGATACAGTCACTAGGTGGATAACCGGCAGCTTCAGTCGTCTGGGTTCACAAAAAGGGAAGATGGGGTAGATCCTGTATTAATGTACACTGTTAGGGAGAGGTGATAGTTTAGCAAAGAATTTCAGGTATCTGGATGGTTTTACATAGTTTGGCAAGTCTAGGATAAGTATGGACGTTTTGATTCCGCACATAGTATGCGGCATTTGTTAGGAAGGCATTAGATTGAAAGCACTGGATGCTTCAGAGTTCTGGGTTCTTCAATGTCCCTTAAACTTAGGTCCGTAAGTCCATACGGTAATAGTTGTGCGGTATAGTATAATTCTAACCGTAAAGTTAGTTCAGAACGACTGTATGAATGTTTTAATCGAGTGTGTGGGCTCTAGTGTAATCGTTTTGGTACAAAGTGAAGCTATTTAGTAGGGTGTGGTGTTCATTAAGCTTGATGCTCCAAGCGCGAAGTTCAGGGCCAAACAGGTGTTTTCGGAGTAGCCGGGTGGATATGAGAGGATCAGTTTTGGGAGATTAGTATCATCGGGGAATAAAAAGGTTATGGTATCACGGGAAAAGGGGAAGGTCAGTATAAACTAGGACCACGATTTCTTAAAGGAAGACCTCGTGAGTATAACAAATGGAAAATATTGATCAACATTTATCTATAAGAAAGTGACGATCGGATAAATAGGGTTTGATAATGGGGTGAAGGAAATATTTTCTTTCTTTCCACAACAGAACAAATTGTGTGGAGAATCTCCCGACAGAGACCGGGACAAAACTGCTTCAAGTGTGGTAGGGTTGGTGTACACAACGCGATGTGGCAGTGAAGGTTAGGGATATCAGGAGTGGTTTACTGTTGGATAAGGAGTTTCAAATGCACTTTTCCAGGATACGAAGCTGGCTGATGTGGCAGTAAGAATTGTGTGAACTTATAGCTCCTACAGAATTTCCTAAGGATGGGAAAATAAATCATTCAACTCTACCTTAGGCTTGGCAGCTGCTAGAATATCGGTTTAAAAGTGGCTTGATGGAAATCACTTGATTTAAAGTTTTATTGCCTAAGAAATTATGATGATTTGATAGTTGATGCGTAGTGATGAAAAGAAGCTGAACGTCTCTCGGACTTGAGGTTTAGTGATGTGACGGTTGGTGGTTGTATAAAGAGCTTCTAGAGCAATTTAGGCAGTAGAAAATGGCGGTGATCAATTGGTATATGGATGACCTAACGATTTAAGAGTTTTTTTGTTTTTTTATCTACTTTAAATTTCGTGTCAGATTATTTGTATAAAAGTAACTTGATGGAAACCGTTAATTAAATTGAATTTTATCCTGGTTTAACCACCATGCCTTTCTTTCTCAATATCCAATTCACTAGTTTCCGTGGTCCGCTTGACCAATTAATATCATTCAATTAATTAAGGTTTTTAGTTGAGATAATAAGTCAGTGTCACGAGCGGGATTCGATCCCACGACCTTCGGCTTGATACGCCGCTACTCCACCACTTGAGCTATCGTGACTTGGACCCACTCAGGCACTAAGTTCCCATCTCAATCCCACATCGGATATTATATTTCTCAATATCTTTTTAACACTTCCAATAAAAGAGCAATTTCGAATTAAAAACCATTGCCTTCTCAAAACCTCATATATAGCAGATCTTTTATTCAAATATTTAACATTCAGGTCCGAAGGTTGAAATGGAACATATTTACACGGTTCTTAACAAAGGTTTGTCTAAACAAAAGCTCCTTTGTTTGAAGAAAAAAAAATGGATTACACTCGATCTTACACAGCTGTAAATAAAATCCTGCTGTTACTCCTTGTAAGAGCACATTCATCTTAACGCATAAACGTTTAAATATATACAGAAAGGTATATGGAAAGCTTTTACTTAATATTTTTTGAACTTATGCTGTTTAAGGAGGAATTCATTCAATTCGAGCTCAAACAGCTTACCCGATCTCGCTCCTTCAGATTTACCACTTCCTGCTTAAGGATCACCTTCGGTGCAGTTAAACTAGAAAAAAGAAAATGCTATTTGTGTCGTAAACGCGAAAAATAGTAAATAGCCTTTAAGCAGTGCTATTGTAATATAAAAATGGCCTCGAAATTTGCTAATCAATTTCCAACTAGTTCTACCATTTGCAAATTATTACAAGCATTGATTTTCATTTTATTTTCAATGGATTCAATTCAGCGATAACTAAATATTTCTAACTGTAAATCATAGATATCGTTTTCTTATTACCTTTCCTGTATATTTCGTTTAGGTTAAAAATGAAAATCCACGTCTACAATAAGCTTAATTTTTTATAAGTAATGTCCAATGGTACGTTTATATGCAAAAGAATGAGGTACAATGAGGTAAATTCGATATTCTTTCAGTCTTATTACCTAATTTATTGGATTTTTTAACAATGCAAAAACTACTAAAACTTGTATAGTTTTTTAAAACTAACTTTACATTGTTTTACACCAGGAATAAAATATTGAGATAAACATTGTTACTTGTGAGGTAAAACCGTTTGGGTAATACTATAAAAGAAGTAAAATAACTTTCTATCCATCTCAAAACCGATATATTGGAGGTATAGTTATTTCCCCGGGGCGGTCGACGATTGAGATCAACCCATTCCGACTAAAAGCGAGATCTGGGCTAACAGCTTTCAATTTTTCATCTTTATTGTTAACATAAAAAATAAATAATATTTATAAATTGGCCGGTAGATTTGATAAAAGTTTAAATACTATTTGCCAACCTTTTTGTTATTTTTTTCTTCAAAAAACTCTGAATCTATTAACTAAATATATTAAATAAAAGCAAAGAACGCTAACTATATAAAGCATCGTTTATTAAAATTATTTCTGACAAAATAGTTTTAAAAAAACTTACTTATAATAACAACCAGACTAGACGATACAAAACACTTGTGTGTCTGTGTTCCACTGCATTATTTGAAACAATAGCTCTGAAACATAAAACATTTTCTAGTTAACTTGAGATTTTCTTTAAAATAAAAAAATTATTACGATATTGAAAAGCTACTGTGGTGCAGTATTGTATCAAAGAAATGTGCACGTAATATACAAGATGAAGTTAAAAGACTAACTTTTTGTTCTATTCGTGTACGTTATTTCGTCAGTTTTTTTGGAACATTTCGGCCTTCTCTGTTGGCCGTATGTCTCTAAGGTTTCATCCTCTGACTTAAAAGAAACCTTACAAGTCTGACTGAAATCGGATTTGAGGGAAAATATCGAAACGGCCTGATGACAGAATGTATCATGTGTCCCATTTTTTATCCTTTGGACCTCGTACCTTTTGCAAATTGGAAAAATAGATTGGAAAAAGAACATGGATCCCAAGAAAGGCGATACAGTACGTAAATAAATGAGAACTTAGGATGTTCACACGTCCGATATGAGCTAACCCACTTGTCACCCATTGGACCAACCCAACAATTTTCCAACATCAAGTCCATGCAATTCAACTCTGCTGTGCATAGGAGTTAATAAAGAAAAATATAAAAGGTGCACAGATTTACATATTCTCAGACAGCCAGGCAGGCATAAAGGCACTAAATGCATATGCTTTCAACTCCTAACTTGTCTGGGAGTGCCTCAATTGCCTAATGACTCTGGGAAAACAAAACAAGATTACCATAAAGTGGGTTCTTGGACATGAAGAAATAGAAGGAAATGTACAGGCTGGTCAACTTCCAAAAAAGGAGAAGCCTTCTCATCCGTGCGGCCAGAACCATAACTATGTACTCCGGAGTGTGTGTGCTTAAGTTGGAAATGGAAAAATGGCTTGAGGAAGAAAAACTCAAACACTGGACAAAAGCACGAGGTATGAGGAAAGCCGAGGAAAGGAAAGATTTTAAAAAAATCACATTGTCCATTATGGTATGCTATCATCACTTAAGCATGATCATGATCGGCATTGTCAGGGGCTTAATAAAATTTATAAATCTCTCACAAAGGAAAGCGAAGGAACTCTCTCTCTGCAGGCAAGATATGAGAAAAATTATAGGCCTCTATACTTGCCACTGCCCTCTTAACTTTCATCTAAAAAAGATGGACAAAGCAGAGTTAGAAACATGCCGTCTCTGTTAGGAGGAACTAGAGACATCGGCACATGTCCTTTGTGAATGTCAAGCATTAGCCCGTATACGGTACAGCACTTTAGTAAATAGTAAAAAAGGTGCGCAAAGAAACACCAAGAAAAGTGCTTAGTTTTACAGGAAAAATTGCACTTTCCAAAGTACGGCTATAATTTATAGAGGTTCCACAATAGATCTATTTGCAGTCGAGGAAAGGATTTTTATAATTCTAAATCAACCCCCCCCCCACGATCTAAAAAAAAAACCACATTGTCCATTACGGTATGCTATCATCACTTAAGCATCATTATGATCGGCATTGTCAGGGGCTTTATAAAAAGTGAAGCACCCTGAAAATACGTCCAGTTAGTCTAGGTTCCCGTACTCACTAGGGGCGAACATTAAAAACACTATTTTATTACAATCCATGTACGCCCAACTACAAATATTAATGAAACTGGACGAATCACTATTCTAAAACGGTAAAACTTTTATGGTTGCTCAATGCGTACCAATGAACAGTGTTTATTAGTAAAATTCTTTTAAGCAGAGGGATAAGCGCAAGGATTTAAGCTGTGATTGAACATTCCGAATATCCGAGAATAACTTGAAGGTCAGGAATTTCAATATTCGATCAGTTATTAAGAATCTCACAGAAAAACGTCAATTGAGGAATCTAAATTGAGCATCATTAGGTTAAAATAAAATTCTATAAAAAGTTTTATAAGAACAGCTAATAAGTATGGTCGGAAACAAAAGAACCATGGCACATTAGTCCAAACTATTCGAAATAAATAATTGTCATGTTAACATAAATCGAAAACGTTCTGTACGCAAGTAAAGAAGAGAAAAGACGCAAACTAAAGTGGTTTTAAAATGTTTACAACTATAAAACATGCACTTAAACCCACGGAAGATTAGAACAAGTTAAGATTCAATTTGCATTCGCGTTGAAGGTTCTTGTTCACGCCAGAGCCATTGACTGCGGACATGCAACATCTGTGTCATTCAAGACTCCAACAACCGTTCCCATTCAGAACGAGAGTTTCTGAGATCAGAGGCAGTCGTGTTTTACAAAAAAAATGGACTTATTCCGAACGGTAATAATAAATCGTCCAATTTGCCTTAGATTTCTGTTGAAAATTCGAACAGATAATAACACAAATAGTTCAAATTCCAATAGACTCAGAAAGAAGGGAAAACTCAAGGACAGCTTGGGTTGTTATATAATAAAATTTTTCCCCGGAAGAAAAACGTTTTATCTTTGCTTTTAAAAACTCATCGAGATAAGCTAAAACGTGAAGGAAACTGTTCACAAAATCATACATTTCCCTTCAAGAGACTAAGGCTGAGGAAAACTGACTACCATAGACCAAAAATAAATCTTACGCAAAAGCTAGCCAGATATTCTTCGCTGGATCTTCAAGAAGTAAATGAGAATACTTCTTGTCTTCTGATCTTCAGGTCGTTGTTTTGATAGTTCTTCTGAAATCAATTGGTAACCTCATTTAAGCCCGGATTATAAGGTACAAAATGTCAACAGCTTCAAAACACATACACTTCCAGACTTTGGTGTATAAGACTCCGAATTATTCTGTAGATATCTTCCAAAGATTGTTGATGCTAATCATTTTGGATGAAAACCGTGCTGCCCAAAGCCAATTGAGGGAATTCCGGGAAGACAGAACATATTACTTCCCTTCCATCAGATCCTACTTTAGACATACACGTATGAAAAAATACTAATAATTTAAAACATTTGTTTGTTTAGGTAATTGTTAACTTGAGTTTGAGAAGAAGTGGTTATGATGGCATCTCCCTACATTGTTCCGAAGATCACTATCTCAAATCCCAAAGACTGTAAGTCTTGTTCCAATTCAACGACAAACTTGCCCAGTTCACCTTTAAAACACAGGGTTGGGACGTGTGGATTCTCTTGCACAGAGTGGTGTTCAGTGACCAGTTGAAATCTGGTTTCAAAGACCAAGCCGGTAATGTCGGATATTCTGACAGGCCCTACTTAGACGTCCTTAGGCTACAAAATTCAAACAGAATGGCAAGAAAACTCGACTTGTCAACAGCTTGGAAAAAATAGAGTTCGATTACGAAGGGAGTGCTGATTCTGAGTAAGGCACTGCTGGCAGGAAGACATGCAAGCAAGAGATGGAGAAGATTGGAAATGGAGACGTTTATTGGTCCTACCCAAGGTGTGGAAATAATATTTCAACAAAACAATGGACAAAGAAGACATGAGCCTTCGAAAGTGAAGTTGATCCGTCAACACTACACTAAAACAGCAGTCGGTTCTTTTGCCAATTTCAGTTGTTGCCTATCGCCATCCAGGCAGACCAAGATGATCGGGTACTATGAAGGTACGTAAATTGTGATACAAGTTCATCGGTGGTATAAGGTACAAATAATCACACCAACCACTGAAGATGGCAAAGAGATGCACGACTAGATCTGAAAAGTCGGAATTACAGGCTCATCGCCCCGCACACCCCAAGAAGAAGAAAACTTAATACATATTAAAAAAGTTGTGGTTGTTGATGTTCAAACAAGCTCCAGAAAACTTGCCGGTATTTGAAGTATCCCACAGAGAGAGAGTAAACCTACTGGGATTGGAAAGGCTCCCAAGGGTTGTAAGACCAGACCTCGTGAAATACACCCTTAGAAGGCCGACCCATCGGATTTTAGGGCATAAATCTCTTGAAAAACCCTTTCGATTTTCGTTTCATTCAACGAATGGTTACCTGGGATTGTTCAACAGCCCCACAACGTACAGTAATGAGTTTATGCCTGGCCAATCAGCTTTCCTTGATCAAAAGGTCATGTGCGATCGGTGAGACTGCGAAGGAGCAATTCACTTTGAGTCGGTCCCTGACACAGTTCTGACTATTCGGCTCATCTTCCCTCTGATGATGTTAGTCTAAAAAGTACAAGCTTTGGTAAACAAACAAAAAAACGTTGTTTTTCGCCTTATTGATCGAGTGGAAACGAAGTTTACAGTACCCAAGTTACTAAGTCCACTAGTCATAGGTCTGTCAAAAGAATGTCCTCTGGTGAATAATGCTATACGACTCAAGGTACCTATATATCTCACGGTATAATTCCAACTATTATTATTTCAATCAACCTTCTTTTAAATAATAAAAGGCCCAACAATTCAGGCTAAGTAAGAAGCTAAGGAAAAATGGTTTCCAGGCAGCGTTTCCAAAAAGGCAATCCCAAGGGTCCAATTTTAATATTTGAAAAATAAAATCTAAAAAAACAAAAGGATTCATTTCAAAAGTAGTCACAGTTTTAAGAAATGTCGCTATAGACTTTACCAAAAGGAACAAATCGACAAATATTTTCCCTTTTCTGACAAACATATATCAGGGAACGGAATTCGTTCCCCATAAGAAAACACACGCCCTTGTAAGGGAAGGAAGTTGACTTAGTTACCAATGGAGGGCTTGATTGAATTTTAAAAGGCAAGCAACCCTGCCAATTCACAGCAGAATCAGATGATACCTGGGGGTCCACTACAAAATATATTAGGCATTACTCTCATCCTTTTGAAAGAGGACAAGCATTTTAGTGAGTGCGATATGATTTTTACATGTAACATCAACACATAAGCGTACTGTGCCAAAGTTAGCAAAACTAGAAGTTCATAAGTAAAACACCGCTCAATATGATGGCTTCCCCTAAAAGGAATTTGTATATCGACTTAAGCAGATAGGAAAGAGGGCCCTTCTTCCTAGTAACCTTCTATCTTTTATTACACTTCCTAGTAACCTTCTATCTTTTATTACAATCTACTGGCGTAATTAGAATAGAAACTGTTGAACCAAAGCAACCAAAATCAGGGTTTATATAGTAACACAACATTCCCCCCATAACAGATTCGCAAAATGTTCGTTTAATCAAATAGCGGCTCTAGTCCGCTCTTATATTCGCTAAGAGTGTAGTGCTTGCTTCTAGGCACATAGCAGCAAAAGGGCTCAACCATTTTACTCTGTCAACCACAACCATGGGTACGGTAGCAATACCGCAACCACAAGAATGATGATGGCTTCCCCTAAACGAATATTTACCAACTTCGTACATTGTCATAAGCAGACTGGAAATGGGTCACGATAACATTTCTTATGAGTACTCCAGACGCCTCGCTTGCCACCTTCCCATCAAACTTCTCTCTTTTATCACAACCCGCGGTTGAGACAAAGTGTACTTCGCGTCTTAACTACTGTACCAAAGCAACCAAAATCAAGGTTCATCAAGCAAACCAACAATCGATCTCTTAACAGATTCGCAGAATGTCGGCATAGGCAGAGGAGAAAATGCTCCCGACTGCGTTATCTTAAATCAGACGCATGGGGCATGTTCCAGGCACATAGCACCAACTGCTCAATCTTTAACTTGCAAATCAGGGTTCAGCAGCAATACTGCATTTTTTACGAGGGTTCGGAACAGCAGAGGTCCTATCAAACGGCAGGGTGCCGGTGTTTTTGAAAAAAGCCTATTTGTAACTATGTCGGGTTCGAATGCAGGGCCGTTGGATTCGAACTCGGGACCTTTACCTTACAGTGATGAGCACCGTGCCAACGCCTAAACCGTTGCGGCCACCAGTAGGAACTGCTCAATCTTTACCCTGCAAACGACAACCTGGGGTTCGGCAGCAATACAGCAACCACCCTGGATGATATAGCAGAATATCGGCTTAAGCGGAAGAGAAAATGCTCCAGCCCACTTTTCTGTTGATTTAGCGCTTAGAGCGTGTTTCCAGGAACATATTAGCAACTCTCAATTTGTACTCTATAACTACAACTCGAGGTTCAGGAGCAATATGCAACCACCCTGAATGTCTGCTGTCTGAATATCGGCTTAAGCAGTGGAGAACAGCTTCAGCCCACCTCTTACGTTAGCTTAATGCATGTTTCCAAGCACATAGCAGCAACTGCTCAATATTTCCCCTACAAACTACAACCCGTGCAGCAATACTGCAACAACCCTGTATGATGTCAGAATATCGAGTTAAGCAGAAAACAGCCTCAGCTCACCTATTACGTTAGGTTAGACGCATAGGGCATGTTTCCTGGGGTTCCAGTAGCAATACTGTCACTACCCTGAGTTATATGACAATATCGACTTAAGCAGAAGAGAAAATGCTTCAGACCATGTTTTCTGTTAACTTAACTCATAGAGTGTGTTTCCAGCCACATATTAGCAACTAGTCAATCTTTACTCTGTAAACCACGACTCGTGGTTCAGCAGCAATACTGCAATCACCCTGAATGATATGTCTGAATATCGACTTAAGCAGAGAGAACAGACTCAGCCCACCTCTTACGTTAGCTCAGGGCATGTTTCCAAGCACATAGCAGCAACTGCTCAATATTTACCCTATAAACCACAACCCGGAAGTCAGCAGCAATACTGCAACCACCCTGAATGATATGTCAGAATATCGATTTAAGCAGAAGAGAAAATGCTCCAGACCACGTTTTCTGTTAACTTAACTCATAGGGCGTGTTTCCAGGCACATATTAGAAACTAATCAATCTTTACTCTGTAAACCACAACTCGTGGTTCAGCAGCAATACTGCAACCACCCTAAATGTCAGAATATCGAGTTAAGCAGAAAACAGCCTCAGCTCACCTATTACGTTAGCTTAGACGAATAGGGCATGTTTTCTGGGGTTCAGTAGCAATACTGATACTACCCTGAGTTATATGTCAGAATATCGACTTAAGCAGAAAAGAAAAGGCTCCAGGCCTCATCTTCTGTGTGGTACTGCAGCCCGTCAACGTTCGTCGACGCCTTCTTCCCCACAGACTTCTCTCTTTTATCAAAACCCAGTTTGGGTCGCAGACAGGTCAAAGTGTAATTCTCGTCAAAGTCGTCAGCTGATCCCCAGACGGGAAATGCGTCGGGGCGTTTCGCAGACGGGAGAGGCGTTGGCTTTTCGCTTTCGTAGTAGGGGGCGAGGGAGTGGGATGCCCGTCTGAAAATCAATACCCGCTACCCAGTCGAGTCGGAACACGACACCCTCCCAACCCCGCAGATAAAAACCAAGAAACGATTTTATATTTTTAACCCTGAGACCGGGGGCGGCGGCCGACGGCGTGTAAACAAAAGAGAAGCCTCGTTTATTTTTAAACCAGTAATTGGGCGAAATTAAAATATATATATAAAAAAAAACGGTGGCCGGGTTGACAACAGTCTCTGACTGCAGACATTACCTTTTCCTACCTATTTAAACGTGACTTTTCTCAATTTATAATCGGTTTTTTTTTTTTTTCTCGACAGAACATTTTTCTAATTTGACAATATCAAAATTACCTCAATCCCATACAAATTTATAAATCTTACTTTTTTATTAATGTCCCGAGTCACATTTCACTGGCTCTGCAGAAAAGTTGAAAATAAAAATAAACAATTGGCACATTCGTAAACGTCAATTTTTTGATTTGAGGTTAGGTTTGGGCGAACCCGGCTCCGGCCTCTGGCCAGACCGGCGTTTCTATTTTAAAAAAAATATTCAACCGGATTAAAGCGTATAAAACGATTTTTGAACAAATACCCTGCATTTAAACATAAAGTATAGTTCATAAGAAAGAAAAAGCTATTAAAAAATGACATGAAAGGTAAATAGTATAAGAATAAGAATTAAAGTACTGACCTTAGAAACTTGTTTTTCCTTTCGTCTCTAGCGTGGTATCTTTGATGTAATAGAGAAATTTCCAACGAGTCGGTGAATTTTAGACTTAGTAATGGCGAAATGAACAAGTAGGAGGAACTACCAGTGTAACTTCTTAAAAGCTTATAGTATATATTGTAGAAGTGAGCAGATTTGTCGGATATCACTTTGTTTCTTTTTCCCTCGGTGTCCGACCAGTCCAGTGTTATTCCCCGGGTCCGTTATAGAAATAAAGGCACTGTTTATCAGTCTGGGGCCTCTGGGTAGAGACAGAAAGAAATTGGAACAAGAGAGCGAGAGATAAAGCTCCTTCCCCTGGAAAAGCTGCGGAACACTCGGGAATCGGCCAAGGGCAGAGGGACGGCTCGGATGCTACCAACAGAAGCGCCCCTACGAAAAAATCCCCTCAGACCATCAACGGGCCCTTCCACGGGTTGAGAAAGGGCGGCGGCTGCTATCCCGTCAAATGGTCGAATTTACTATCGACCCTTCAATCTTGGCTCATAGGGTCTGAAATCCCTACTTCAATCATCATAGGCTATGTGAAATGTGCATGTTTCATTCCCAAAATTGTTTTTTTTTTTACTAAATCTTTTTATACATAAACATCATTGTTGCCAATAGCTGCCCACATAATCAGCCAGCACTACATTATAATTTTTTTTTTAAGCATCAGGTGATGTCAAAAGAAGTGGTTGAGCTCCTTCAATCTGATGATGAGCTTTAAGCTTGAAATCTGAATACTTGTTAACAACAAATTTGTGAGTAATAATAATAACCATATATTTTACGTAATTAATCCAATTTACATAAGTATTAAACAATACGTAAAGTAAGAAAATAGCATAAAAGAATGTTTCATATATACCACATATGCATTTATCATTTTTTGGGCCAAAGCCCACTTGTGTCCCACCTAGTTGAAGGTGCAATTCCTTGGCTCCGTACAGGGAGGGCACAGGAGTGCTGCCCAATATGAGAATCGTGCTTGAGTAGGTCAGCGATCTGGGTCCCCTGTTCCTATTCTTGGAGGAAACGGGTTTGTTCTATTGTATATAGTAATAATAGTTGTATATACCTATTTTGTGTTGAAAGTGGATGAATTTATTAGTGTGAATGTGTGATGGGGTATGGTGGATGGCGAATATTGAATAACCCATCGACCCTCAATTAGGTTAGTTGTAAAATATGTGTAAAGTCACTACGTTTTGTGGTCTGCTTGACCAATTAATAATAATAATAATAATAATAGAAGTATTTCGGAGTATTTCTTAAGCCTGGACTATGTTACACACTAACCTAAGATAGAAGGTTTGGATGTTAGGGCGTGAAATGACCTTAGCCGTTAAAACGCCCTTAAAAATTAATAATAATAATAATAATAATAGAAGTATTGTAAAACCCGAATAGTTTATTAAATTTGTAAGCAATATTATAATAAAGTGAACATAAATGAATTCAATAAAAAATAAACAATACAGCATGGATTCTCCATCTGCCGATAGGTGGCGAGAACATAATAATAATAGTAATAATGATAATCATAATAATGATAATTAAATGGGTCTCCAGTGTTTCTTTCGAAGAGCACTTTTCAGCTTTCTCAAATTTATTGGAATTTACAATGAGATTTAGGCCTTTTCCCAAATTGTTATACCATTGAATGTTTGCCTGCTAATGTTTGAATGAGAGTTGTGCTTGCAAGATTTTTTTTCCAGAAATTTTTGAGGCTGCCGGAGAGGATAAATGAAATGGAAGAAAATACAAATTGCAGGGTAATAAACTGCAATGCCCAAAATCGCAATTTAAATAAGAAAGATAGCTCCCTCAAAAAAAATTCTAATTAAAAAAAATAAATAAATTTTATACATCAACATTATATAATTAAATGAAATATATAAATAACTAATTTTATACATTGCAAAATAATATAAACCTCTCTGATTATAAATTATTGTAATTGGTTAACAAAAGTCAAAATTTCCCGAAATAACATAGATAACTAAATAAAAACTAAAATAATGAATTAGTTAAATGCCATAAACCCTAGACAAATGGATTAAGTAAACGAAATAAGGATAAACAAGAATAAAAGTAAGAAGGGAAATAAGTTTACACATAAGAATAAAAAATGAATTAAAAAAAAAAATAACGATATTTTGTGATATAGCGTGTCTCTTCTTCTTTTTTGTTGGGCCCAACCCTGATTTCGGAAAACCGAAAACAAGGTCCCAGAGGTTTTTACGATCGGACCTGACTACAATTATTTCATTTATCGATCAGGCACCTTTTATATTTCATTTAAACTAAAGTAAATACGACACCAAATGTTTGTTAAATTTGAATCTTTAATTACAATTTATTTTCACATAAAATGACAATATATTTTATTAATTATTATTTTTAATTTAAAGTATCCTTTTATTCAATAACAAACCTATCTCAAATCTACAAACCTTAATTTTAAAATGGAATTTGATTCTCGTTTTATAGTTCCATAAAGAAAGGTAAAGAAATTATTATTATTATTATTAAAATTTTGACCACCAAATTAGAAAATACAATTAAAATATTAACACAACTTTTAAAATGAAATATTATTTCTTTTATTTTTCTTTATAAAAATATATACCCTTTTAAAACTAAATTACAATTATTATTTTTTTATTAATTATGTGTAAAGGTTGAGCCAAGAGTGAATGAATTTATTGGCGTGAATGTGTGATGTAAGAGGGTTGATTTCAGAATATATACTCTATCTACCCTCAAGTATTAAATATGTATAAGTGAATGTATGTATTAGTGTGAATGTGTGATGTAAGAGGGTCAAAGGCGGAATATTAAATGCCCCATCGACCCTCAATTAGGTTAGTTGTAAAATATGGGTAAAGGTTGAGCCGATAGTGAATGTATTTATTGGCGTGAATGTGTGATGTAAGAGGGTCAAAGGCAGAATATTAAATGCCCCATAGACCCTCAATTAGGTTAATTGTAAAATATGTGTAAAGGTTGAGCCGATAGTGAATGTATTTATTGGCGTGGATGTGTGATGTAAGAGGGTCAATTTCAGAATATCGAGTACTGTATCTACCCTCAATTAGGTTAGTTGTATAACATGTGAAAGGTAGAGTCGAGAGTGAATGTATTTATTAGTGTGAATGTGTGATGTGATAGGGTCTATTGCAGAATATTAAATGCCCCATCAACCCTGAATTAGATTAGTTGTAAAATATGTGTAAAGTCTTCAATTCACTAGTTTCGCTTGACCAATTAATATATTACGATTACCTCAGTGGCTGGATAAGACTGAAGTCTTCCCTCGAACCCGGGGTAGGTGATTCTCGAGACTGCCAGCAGTTTACTGTAAAACAACTCGGCACATGTTTGTATGTATCATGTGCAGATTTGAGCCTAAATAAATCTAAATCCAAAATCCTACATTCATTATTGTTATTTTATATTTTTAAATTGTTTAAAACAATATAACATATTTTAAAATATTGTATAAATAATATTAGAAATAAATTACATAAATAAAGATTAAGTAAGTAAAAATAAGAGAATTTGGTGCATATTTAGATGAATTATATGGATAGATTAGATAAATTATTGAAATTTTTAATTAGAAATAATATTAAGTTAAATATGGAAATATATACATATACATACATTGTTATACAAATAATGAAAAATAATTTAATTTAAAATACATGTAATAATTCAAGATTTAACATGTCTACACACTTGACTGTAGAATGAAAAGAAAGAAGAATAAAAATTGTAAGATTTGGAAAGTTATTGGCTGAGTGCATCATTATGCCAATAGTATTTTTAGTAGCCAATAGTATAGTTAGTAGAATGGTAGGAAATATGAAAAAGTCTATTGTGTCTGGTCAAGTACCTAGATACAGAAAAGTTAATTTGACTAAATAAAAAAAAGAACTGTCAATATATTAGTTAATTATTTTGTAAATCAGAGCAAAGTCTATGTGTCTCTAGGGGAAGTAAATTGTTCTAATTTTCTATAGCTGCTCAAGCTGTGCTCTGCCGACCCTAACCCTAAGAAAAATTAATAATTACAAAAATAAATGTACAATTAATAAATAAAATTAAAAATTAACAACTGACTTCTGAAAATGAAAGGTTTTTATTTTGGAGGAGCAGATTTTGGAGAAGCAGCCCTTGTGTTCTCCACAGACATGTTTTACCTATCAAACAAATGCCAGCCTCTTTTAAGAAAGTTTTAGATGAGACTGTGCAAATTATTAATTATATTAAGTCAAGGCCATTGAGGTCAAGACTTTTAACAACAATATGTGTTGATATGGGAAGCATTCCTCATTCCCTGCTTCACCATACAGATGTGAAGTGGCTGTCTCGTGGGAAAGCATTTTCATGATTACAGGAATTTGAAGACATCTTATTAATGGACAACGATGTCAAAGTCAATTTTCAATGATGAGAAATGGCAATGTATACTGTTGTATTAATCAGATATTTTCATTAAAATGAATGAAATGAGTCTTTCTTTGCATGGGAAGAGTATCACAACTTTTAATGCTAATTACAAAGTTCGCACCTTCAAAAGAAAAATCCAGTTACGGATAGAATATGTTGAGGAGGAAGAGGTGGAGTGTTCTCATATGTTAAATGATTTTTTAAAAGAAAACAAACTGGAGCTTGTGATTGGATTGATTGATGAAACATGTCAACATCTTCAAAGTTTAGAGATGTCCTTTGAATTCTACTTCCCAAACAGCTCAAGATGCAGTTTCGACAAACCAACCAGTCTCTCTCCGAGTAAATATGAATATTTGATAGACATTACTTCAGAATCCACATTGAAATCTCGTTTGAGTCCGATACTTGCCTCTGTGTTTGGCTTCCACTGGAAAGCAAAAATTTCAACTACTTGTGAACCTATGTGAATCCGGATTTTCTATCTAGGCAGCCACCAAAATTAAATACCAAAGCTGTCTAGATGCTGAACCTGACATCCATCTCCAGCTATCAACAATTAAACACAACATATCCAAATTGTGCAGGCTAAAACAACCTCACTTTTCCCATTCATTCATTAATCATTAACGTTCAAATTATTACTTTTGCATTTGGCTCGAGTTTTACTTAATTGATTCCAATCTGTCCAATTTGATTTTTGTGTTCCATATTTTGTAAATAAAGTTAAGTATGTCAATCTAATGTTTGTTTTTAAAGTGATATCCCCTCCATCAACTAATTAAGTATGGACTGACTAATTTATAAAACTTTAATTTGCTACATTACTATAAGTATCTAATTTACATATTTGAATGAGAGGAGACGGCCCTAGATTTTGATCTGTAAAAGGGGTCCAC